CAGGAATATTTCTTTAGAGCTTCCATCAATTAATAGCTGGCACCTGCCCTGAAGCACAGGCATTTCTAAAGCAGAGGCTAGTCCTTGCCTAGAAAGAAGAAAGGAATTATTCCTTCTTCTGGACTTGCCCAATTCTTGCTTCCTGAGCACCTTGAGCAACGCTGAGCTCCTCTTCCAGAAGGAAGGCGCCTGGTCTGCCCAAAGCCTCCACACCTCTCTTCGTGCACTTCTGCGTCTTGGCCTTGGGCTCCACAGCCTACTTCAGGGAGCGCGATCAGCCTCTGCCAAAGGTTATCCACAAATCCAGCCAATCCTCCGAGGCTCGGATTAACCCCTGGATCATTTGTAAGCATACATTACACAAAATTATAACTTTCTCACATGGCTACTCCCTCCTGCTTCCGAGCCAGCGCTAAGAGAATTAAATTACAGCACTTTGTGTGAAGCAGTTTGCCACACCACGAGCTGGAAAGCTCCTTGCTTGGTTTTCTTTCTTCCAATCTGCTCCTGACCCAAGACAGAACTTCATTTCTTGCCTCCACTGCTCACATTTCTTTATTAGCTCTTTGCAAAAAGCCTTGATGGAGACAAGTAAATTATTTGTGGTTTCTTTCACCTGTTATCTGCTCTCTTATTCCCTGCTGTCTTATGAAGAGATAGCACAAAGGACAGCAGCTGTGGAAAAACCTGTTGTTCACACAGACGTTAAGAAAAACGAACCTAAAGAGATCATCTTTAAATTGGAGTTTTCTAAGCTTTGCCTATGCTCTGCAGATGAGCGATGCGATAGCGATTGCCCAAATTCACAACACAGGTTGAGCAACGCTTGATATCATCAAGATGTTCACACGTGTTTAAGCTCGAGGGACTTGCGGACCTGACTAATGGAAAAGGACTGTGCAAGGAAGGGCAGGTGCCAGGAGGAGGAAGAGAGTACCCACCAGGCTGGCTGGAAGTGCAATCCCTCCAACTGAATGCAGGCTGGCGCAGTTCCCAGGACTGAGAGATCACTAATTCTATTTATTCCTCCAAGAAATAAGACTTTATGGGTGTGTCACACTGAGAACAGGCAGCTCATTTTAATGAGGTGAGAGATCGTTGTCGGCAACCTGACCAGTTTGTTTCTTCCACAGCTCTTAAGCAATCTTCTCTCTCCAGCGAGGCCTCATCTTTCCCCCCCCCAATAAAAGGCTCTAATGTCAGTCTCATCAGTTGGTTGACGATGCACAGTAATCATTCATCTCCTCTATCGTGCACCCTCTGTTGCTTGGAGGCTGATCTTTTCTTTATGCTTCAAACTACCCCCTTGGCATCCTTTCCCACCTGCAAGGCCGGTTAAAACAGGTGTGCGGGAGGTCAGGACTTGTACCCTGCAAACTCGTGTCTGTTCCTGTCCCCTTCCACGTGCACTCGCTCCTCCTGAAGCCCTAGGCTCTGTGCGGAGTGCGAGTGCCCCAGCTCTGTGCAGGTTACTCAAAGGCAGGCAGGTGGCATTTTATTCTTGGGCCCTTGGGCAGAAGACAAGGTTATATCAAGGACAGTATTAGCACAGCGCACAGTACCGGGAAGTCGTTAATTGCTTGTATGGACCAACGTCGCCGGGCAGAGCGAGGAGACATCTGCGTGTGAAAACGTTATACCCAGGAAAAGGGAAGAGAGACACCAAAGAAAATTAAAGACAAAGGTAAATAAACCGAAATGAAAAGTGCCCTGAACCAGCAGAGTAAAAGATACTGTTCCCAATGGTTCTTGTTACAAAACCAACAGCTGCAAACCACAGTCCCCGCTTCCATCCACACACACTGTACCACACGTCGCTGTCAGGTCTGTGGAACACCAGCCTCTGAGGAAGACTTGGGCAACCACAGATCTGAATAAAGTCTTCCACATGGAGTCGTGTCACTGCAAGAAGTGCCAGACTCCTTCGAGTGACTTTGTTGGTACCGTGGACTGGCAGGAGAGGACAACACCCTGGTGTCCCTCCAGGACTTCATTCACTGGAACCTGCTCTAACCATTTACTTTCATTTTAAACAACAGAAGCCACATGCCAGGATATCAGAAGGGATGTAGAGACCCTGCCGCTTGGCAGGGCCACACAGGAATTGTCATTATGGGTTAAGGAACTCATTCAGGTTGAGCGAGCCATCAAATTCACTGATCGACTATGCAGAATAGCTCCAAAGCAGGCTTGCGTTATGAACTTGAAGATATTTCATTACATACTCAAAGCAGTATTACAGCAACAATAAATGAAACCTCTTAGAGCACATTACCATGCACTCGCCTGAAAAAAAATAAAAAAATTATGGTATAGCTCTGTAAGAGTTGAAACAATAAAAAGGGTCGGGTTTTTTTGTATTGCGTGCAATGTATTTTACACTTATTTCCAGGTGATGGCAGGCAGGCAGGACCATCAGCCATGCCTTCAGCCTCTGCTTTGCCTGGCGTCTCACTGCTGGGAGAAGCCAGCAGCCAGGGAGCTGAGGGCTGAGGCTGGCTGCAGGGCCCCACTGAAAAGGTAGGGAGACGACTGCAGCCTTGTGCTACAGGTTCCTCCACCAGGCCTCACAAGAGAGGGAGAAAAGACTTCGCTGAAGGGAATTTGGTGTAGTGGAGAAGCAGCAAAGCTAAGCTCGGTCCCCTCTCAGAGTCTGGCTCCACTGGAAGGTAGAGATCTGCAAGCGCCAGGCACAGCCCGAGGGACGTCCTGAGAAACAGCAATTTCCAAATTCCCCGCAGCGGAAGCACAGGGCAGTGCTGTCCCCGCGTACAGCCACCCCTGGAGCAAGGCTGAGCTGTTCCCAGGTCCCTCGTGGCACGACCCTCTAAGTGGGGGGAGAAAAAACAGCCCGCAGCCATGGCACCTGCTTTAAGAGGCACCCAGGTCTGAAACACTGAGATGGTGCAGACAGAGCTTCTCCTTTCTGCTGACTACTATTCCTTAACAGCACTTTTTTTTAGGAGTGAAAAAGAGGGAGGAAGAAAGGAGGAGTGTGCATGTGTGAATAAGAAGTGAGAAAGATATATATATGTATACATACACACACATTTAAATGAGCACAGAAAGGCTCAGTGCCAGATTTATTTATTTTCATTTCTGTTTCCCAAAGAGATTGCCGCTGGGTTCAGC